TGATTTAGACCTGGTTTTAGTCCTGGTTTAGCCCAAAATGTGAAAACAGGAAAAAAACTCTGTGTAATCCATTTATTTCCAACAAAGTAACTGTAATCCAATTACCACTCACTGAAACAGTAACTGTAACTGAATACAGTTACTCATAATTTGTACTCTGATTACGTAACTCCGGTACATGTAATCTGTTACTCCCCAACACTGTGTACAACCAAATCGTGCATTACAAGTTAGAGGTCAGATCTGTGGAGTGGCGAGCACACTCAAAAATGGGTTTGAATTTATGTTCCTTATCGAGCAAACAAACACAGACACTCTAGCTCCTGCTGCTGCTCCTTTTTTGCAGTGCAGGATCTTGTCACACGACTCAAAAATGCTGAACGGACAGAAGCCAGACAGGAAGGCCGTAAATCCGAGGTTATAGTTCTTTTGTTGAAGTTGTTTTCGCAGTAAATTGTCCCTAACAAAACTCTCCTCCCCACTTCTTCTGTGGAGTTATTCACAGCACTTCATCTTTAGGTTAATAGTCGCTCTCATTTTGTCCAAAAAACCCGGTGTTCCCGTCCACCTCTCCGAGACCTGTGTGCGTCTCTATAAAAGGAAAAGTATTCACCGGAGAACGGGAGGATTAGCAAAGAGGAGCGAGAGATGATGAGATGTCCTCCGCAACTCCAGACTTCACCAAACAGACTTAAAGGGCCCACGTTACGCTGTTTTCTGAGCCGTGTTATAATGTTGTTGCCGCGTGAAAAAAACATACCCTGCAGATTTAAGATGAGTTCTTCTCTCAGTCAGAAAACTGTTCCACCTTTTGATGAGCAGTGTTGGGAGTAATGTATTATAAAAGTAATGTATTACAGTAATGCGTTGATTTTTGCTGTAACGCAGTAATGTAAGGCATTACAGGGGGAAAAATTGTAATATTTTACTCGGTACAAATGTGAGTAACGCGCGTTACAAAGATTTTTTAACCTGGATTGAAGTGGTGGGTTTTTCTTCATAGAAATTCGCTAAAATCACCGTGAAATCAGCAGCGGTGAAACGCCGGAGACGCGGCCGGATAGACTTTCAGTTAACCGCGGGTGAAAGGACCGACCCAGAACTCTACACTGTTTAGACCTGGTTTAGACCTGGGTCACTTCTGGTTTAGACCTGGTTTACAGTCGTCCCTCGCTCTAACGCAATTCACTTTTCGCGGTCTCACTGTTTCGCTGATTTTTAGAATTTTTTTTTTGTGCAATTTTGCATGCCTTTTGTTTTTAGTGTATGAACACGTATTGCGTTCCTCCCGCTGTGTCCTGATCGGCTAAGGGACTCCTGTCTCTTCTACAGTACAGAATATGTTCAAATTTAAATACATGTTCAATCTCTAGCAGTGTGCTTCTGAAGTGCTGTATGTCTGCAAGTTTTCTCTCCGACAAAATCCACAACGTCGACGAAACGTTCTGCACTGACAAAGTCTCCTGCGCTCACACCCAAAAGACAGAGGACGATGCAAACCATCGCACAAAAAGTTGGACTTCTGAACACGTTGAAGGAAGGTAGAAGTTACGCGCTGTAGCAGAGTTTTGCACCGGGTCTTGTACCCGCAAATAGTTGCTGAAATCAGGACCGTGAGCCCGCGCAGCAGGGTCCATAAAGAGCGATCGGGCGACAGCCGCTCTTACCTCCATGAGGTGCGGAGCAAAGCCGGTCCTTTCTCCTGCGTCACCTTCGAGCCCGTCCTGACAGTGAGTCCTGTTTTAGTCCTAGTTCAGTTCTGGTTTAGTCCTCCTCTTCAGTCCTGGAATCAGTCTGAGGTTAGTCCTGTTATAGTCCTGGTTTAGTCCTGGTTCAGCTCTGGTTTAGTCCTGGTTCAGTCCATATACGGCTCAAAAGTTCAGCTTTTTCGCAGTTATTTTGGTGAGAGTAACTTAAAGTAATGCAATAGTAATGTAATGCCTTACATTTTAAATGCAGTAATATTGTAATGTAACGAATTACTTTGAAATGACAGTAATAAGTAATAAATAAGGCATTACAGTTTTAAAGTAACTTGCCCAACAGTGTTGATGAGATGTTGTAATACAGGAAGTAGACAGATCAGAGTCCTGCACCAGGTCGGATGTAGCAAATCGTTGCTGAAACAAGCGGGTTTTTAATGTTCTAGAATTTTACAGGTGAGTATGCGGGCGGGTAGAGATTACACACGGGCAGGTCAGGTGAATCAAATGAACGACGAGCTGGAGAAAACGATTTGATGTGTGTCCAGGATGTTAATTTCCCTGAAGCAAGTGACATTTCCCGGTCTTTTCCCAAAACAATGGACCAGACTCAGAAAGACTTTAGTGTTTTTATTACGTAAAATCATCAACGGAGGAGACGGCTGCGCTCCTTGTTTAGTCCTGGTTTAGTCTTGGTTTAGTCCTTGTTTAGTCCTGGTTCAGTCCTGATCCAGTTCTGGTTCAGTCTGGTTCAGTCTTGGTTCAGTCCCGGTTCAGTCCTGGTTTAGTTCTGGTTCAGTTCTGGTTTAGTTTTGGTTCAGTTCTGGTTTAGTCTTGGTTCAGTCCTGGTTCAGTCCAGGTTTAGTCCTGGTTCAGTCCTGATTCAGTCCTGGTTTAGTCTTGGATCAGTCTTGGTTTAGTCCTGGTTCAGTCCTGGTTCAGTCCTGGTTTAGTCCTGATTCAGTCCTGGTTTAGTCCTGGTTCAGTCCTGGTTTAGTCTTGGTTCAGTCCTGATCCGGTCCTGGTTTAGTCCTGGTTTAGACCTGGTTTAGTCCTGATCCACTCCTTGTTTAGTCCTGGTTCAGTCCTGATCCAGTCCTGTTTTAGTCCTGGTTTGGTCCTGGTTTAGTCCTGGTTTAGACCTGGTTTAGTCCTGGTTTAGTCTTGGTTCAGTCCTGGTTCAGTCCTGGTTCAGTCCTGGTCCAGTCCTGTTTCAGTCCTGGTTTAGTTCTGGTTCAGTTCTGGTTTAGACTTGGTTCAGTCTCGGTTCAGTCCAGGTTCAGTCCTGGTTTAGTCCTGGTTCAGTCCTGATTCAGTCCTGGTTTAGTCTTGGATCAGTCTTGGTTCAGTCCTGGTCCAGTCCTGGTTTAGTCCTGGTTCAGTCCTGATCCAGTCCTGGTTTAGTCCTGGTTTAGTCCTGGTTTAGTGATGAACTATTGGGCTGTCGGACTAATGGGTTGACCCCGATTTATCCCGGGCACGGGGGAGTAACGGGTGGAATGTTAACGTGTCTGGGCGGGTGCAGATTTAACTTTGATCATCACGGGTTATGGGGCCGGTGTGGTGCTGGTGTGGGTCTCCAAAAATGGACCCGTGCAGAACTCGGAGACAGACTAATAATGCAGGATTACTCAAACATGTGTGAATGAAACAAAACACAACTCCACGTATGTTTTTGCTGAGGTAAGAACATTCCAACATGACTAAAACATCACAAGAGTCAATTTCCTGTAATATAGAACCTTTAACTTTAAAGGTTGTATGGAGGATTTTTTTATTTGTTTCAACTTGTCAATGAAAGTTTAAAATACCATTACAGAGACGCAGCAGCCTTGTAATTATGATGACCAAAAAAAAAAAAAAAAAAAGAAAATCTATCAACTGTGGACGTGTTGAGGCCAGATAAACATCAGCCAATAGAAAACGAGGCTGCCTCATTTTCTATTGGCTGTTAGGTTGTCAATCAAACTCCCTATGTTTCTAAGGTAACTATGCAGCGGTTCTTAGAGGCTTTTTCTAATTGTGGCTCTCTCGCAGTTCGCATAAAGTTTGTTGCGATGTCGGATGAGAATAAACGACCAGTTCGCCGCAAAAGAAAGTCCGTTTTTGAGGTCGCTGAAAGAAGAAGAGAAGGAGAAAAGGAGCAAAGACAAACTGAGGTGATTCTTGGAGATTCCTTCCAACGACGGCGCGACTGAAGCAGACAAAGGGTCTAAAAACCGAGGTATCGGTCTCTAAATTATTTCTAGAGGGACCTGTGGAGGAGGAAGGTGGTGTCACGCATGCACTACATTTGAAAAAAGGACTGTTGCTGGATTTCTCTTTCCTTAAAAAAATCCTCTATACAACCTTTAAGTCTTAAAAGGGCCTGTACCTCATTTTTCTCCTTTGTTACTTTGTGTAACTTTCTGGTGGAGCGTTCATCACCTGCTTATTTTTATGGAGAAGTCATTGCTTTGCCTAGAACACAGGTGTCATACATAAGGCCCGGGGGCCAGATCCGGCCCTCCAAGACCTTTAATGTGGCCCTTGAGTGATTTCCTACTAACATATTTTAATTATATTTTCTATTAAAATATTGGTAATTTTCTGCGGTGTTTATCACAGCAGCGTCTCCAGCGTCTCTGTACGTGGCCCCTCCCACCAGAGCAGCACAAATGAAGACTTGCCTCTTTTCAAACGCTCTTAAAGGACGATCGTTTTGACTGTTGACCGTGACACCCTCATCAGAAAAATGTCCAACATGAGAAAAGTGGAGCCGAGTGCAGGATTTTACAAGAAAAATGGACTTACTCCTGTTTGCAAACAAGTTATTGTTAAAACATTGTGTTGAAATTGAATTTTTCTTCAAGTTTCAGGTTGTTCATAATATTATAATAAGAAAGAGTTCATCAATTAAAAAAGATTTCTGTAATAGATTTGTGTTTCTCTGCACAAATATTTGAAGTTATTGTTATTTTTGGGGTTTATATGACATGAGTTTTCTGATCCGGCCCCTTTGGGATCAAAGTAGGTTGGATACGGCCCCCGGACCAAAATGAGTTTGACACCCCTGGCCGAGAATGTTCCACAGAGTGACATTAAACAGCTCTACCTTACATTTATTCAATCACAGGTGGTTTTATTGCTGAAAAATACCTAGAAAAACAGACATTCTGACTGTGAGCAGGGTCGCCTCTCCACAGATCTGACCTGTAACTTGGTCTGGTTTGGTCTTCACGAAGATAGAAAGTAAAACATTCCAGACAAAGCAATAAGATCTCATAATAATAACTGAAGCTGTATTCCTGTATTTACCTCCGTCTCCGGACTCGAGGATGCCCTGCAGGTACTTGAAGGAGCCGGACTGCTTGGGTTCAGACACGGGCTCTTCGTAGTCCTGGAGCATCTTGTAGACATCAGACTGTGTGACGTCAGGGGAGGGGATGGGGGGCTCTGGGCTGGAGGAAACACACAAGAACAACACGTTTCATTTACTGTCATCAGGACAATCAGATTCTGAAACTTTGCAACTGAAACCCCTCGCAAAAAGTACACAGCAGTCGTATTTTAAAACACCTGAATTAGCAGAAATGTACAAAATAATAGCAATGCACCAATACAGTACTGATCTTGAATACTGACACCAATATTGAACATTTTGGTTATGTTCAAACTGAAAAGAAGTGACCCAAATCAGAGTTTTTCTCACCTATGCTCCTGTATCTGATCTGAACAGTCTGAACGACAAATGTGACCAGGACACTTGGGCTACGTTCAGTCTGCAGGGCTTGACGCTCAATTACGATTTTTTTGTGAAATCCGATGTTTTTGCGAGGTCGTTCACATTTCCAATTAAATGCGACTTGTATGTAATCAGCTGTGTGAACGTAAAACGGCCCGAAAGTGTCCCGCATGTGCACTGGAGACACGACGACGTCAACCTCAGCGAGCGTCTCTGTGTTTACGGAAGTTGTTCAAACATGGACGCGAGCATTGAGCACCTGGAGATTTTAAAGTTCCTCTCGTACCGGAGCCAGAACATGAACAACTTACTTGTTTTAAGGAGGAGATTGAGAAGAAGAAGGACGAGGTTTTTGGCGTGGTGTTTTGTGGGACAGCGGCAGGAACGTGTGGATGTGGAGACGGAGCCAAGAGTGGTGAGTGGTGATGTGCTTCACTTCAGTGACACGGAGTTCGTTAACAATTTTCGCCTACTTCAGCGCAGAATAGTGACGTTTGTGGCTTGTTGATAACGTGTAGGTGGATGAATGCGCTTTGGTCGTTCACACTGAAGTCGCATGTCAAAAGATCAGATATGTATCGGTTTCAGGAGCCACATATCCAAGTGTCCTGGGTCACATTTGAAAAAATCGGATCTGTGTCGTTCAGACTGTCATTAAAAGATCAGATACAGGTCACATAGAGGCCAAAAAATCGGATTTGGGTCACTTCAGGCTGCAGTCTGAACGCAGCCTTGGATACGTGCTCCTAAAACTGATACATATCTGATCTTTTGACATGCGACTTCAGTCTGAACAACCAGGTCACGTTCATCCCACCTACACGTCACAAATGTACACAAACGTTCTTCTCGTCATATGAAAATTGTGTCAGTGAAGCAGTGAAAAACCTCGTCCTTCTCCTTCTCAATCTCCTCCTTAAAACAAATAATCTATTCATGTTCTGTCTCCGGTACAAGAGCAACTTTAAAATCTCCAGGTGCTCAACGCTGTGTCCATGTTTAGGCGATTTCCTTAAACACTGAGCACGTTTGCTGTGTGTGATGTTGTCGTGTCTCCAGTGCTCATGCGGGACACTTTTGGGGTGTTTAAAGCTCACACTGGAGATCACATACAAGTCACATTTAATTGGAAATGTGAACAACCTGGCAAAAAAATCGGATTTCACGAAAAAAGTCCGAATTGAACATTAAGCCCTGCAGCCTGTGGTGGATCAGATATCGGTTTCCAAAATATCAGGTCAGCCGATTTCCCATTTTAGTCTATAAATCGGTGTAAAACTATGATTTACGGGCCCTAATGTTGGCCCAAAACATCTCATTATCTCCAATTTGTATTTTTACAAACGGTTTCTGTAGTTACAAAATACATGGATATTTTTTTTACCTGTTGCTGTTTGTGTTTAAAGGAAATCAATGCTGTTTTCAGTCTCTGTACTAGTATCGGTTTATATCGAGTATCGGCAGATGCTGAAAGCCAAAGTATTAACATTGGTATTGTAACAGAAAAAGCTAGATCGGTGCATCCCTACGAAATAATTACAAATTAGACATGACTTTAAGCTAAGAAAATATGTATGGATGAGCCAATATGTTTTTTAAAATTTGTTTTTTGGTTTTTGAGTCAATACAATGTCCGATATTTGTCCTGCTGTTGTAACCGATAAACCGATATAACCAATAATCTAAGAGCCACTGTCGACTTGAGTTGACAAGATGCCGCTCTGAATAAATGGCCGATTTGCCAAATAGTGAGTCCAATTTCATTCACGCTAAACCAGGACTAAACCAGGTTGAAAATAGGACTAAACCAGAAATGAACCAGGACTAAACCAGGACTGAACCAAGACTGAACCAGGACGGAACCAGAGTTAAACCAGGTCTAAACCAGGTCTAAACCAGGTCTGAACCAGGATGAAACTAGGACTAAACTAGGACTAAACCAGGACTAAACTAGGACTAAACCAGTGCTAAACCAGGACTGAAAAAGGTCTAAACCAGGACTAAACTAGGACTAAACCAGGACTGAACCAGGACTGAACCACGTCTAAACCAGGACTGAAACAGGTCTAAACCAGGACTAAACCAGGACTGAACCAGGTCTAAACCAGGACTAAACCAGGGCTAAACCAGTTCTGAACCAGGTCTAAACCAGGACTAAACCAGGACTAAACTAGGACTGAACCAGGATGAAAACAGGTCTAAACCAGGACTAAACCAGGACTGAACCAGGATGAAAACAGGTCTAAACCAGGTCTAAACCAGTTCTGAACCAGGTCTAAACCAGGACTAAACCAGGTCTAAACCAGTTCTGAACCAGGTCTAAACCAGGACTAAACCAGCACTAAACCAGGACTGAACCAGGTCTAAATCAGGATGAAAAAAAAACTAAACCAGAACTAAACTAGGACTGGACCAGGCCTAACCAGGTTTAAGATGTCAAAAATCTAATATTTTACGAAAAAACCTCTGGCGCCTAAAGTGTTAAAACCCAGAGCAAGTTAATAAGTTAAAATCAGTTTGAAGCAAAGATCAAACTAACTTTCACTTCCAAAAAAATATCAAATATCGGCCGATACAGACACCGGAACCGATACATCGCCCATGTATAACAGTGTAGGTCTCCCGCTAAGTTTCTCACTCCAAAACAAGTCTGATTCTGTTTGACTAATTTTAGAGCCGTGTTTAAACTCCGGTAAAAGCCCAGACGGGTAAATCCAGACCACCAGGAGAACGGAATACGCTTTTAATCTAAACTTTGCTCTCCGTCAGTCGCTCTCCTCCACAGAGCTGCGGACACGTGCCTCCTGACGCCTGCAGCTCTAATCACTCAAGTCTGCTGGGTTCATCCACCCATCAAGTCACTTCCAAACCCACTCCAACACCACGGGACGAGACTGACAGAACAATTAAGACTCAGCTACAGGCCAGAAGAAGCGGTTTGGTTCATAGTCTTTGGAGAGACTCTGTGAAATCGCTGTAAACCGAAAGTGACAGTGAGGAAGAAGGACACTGTTGGCGAACTCTTGTCGTGGATTTAAGGGTCCATATTACGCTATGTTCTGATCAGTGTTGAGGAGTAACAGATTACATGTACCGGCGTTAACGTAATCAGAATATAACTTATGAGTAACTGTATTCGGTTACAGTTACTGTTTCAGTGAGTGGTGATTGGATTACAGTTACTTTGTTAAAATAAATGGATTACATGGTGGTATTTTCCTGTTTTCACATTTTGGGCTAAAGCAGGACTAAACTAGGACTAAAACCAGGACTAAAACTAAGGACTAAAACCTAAACCAGGGCTAAACCAGGACTAAAACGAGGACTAAGCCAGGACTAAACTAGGACTAAAACCAGGACTAAACCAGGACTAAAACGAGGACTAAACTAGGACTAAAACCAGGACTAAACTAGGACTAAAACCAGGACTAAATCAGGACTAAAAGGACAGGACTAAAACTAGGACTAAACTAGGACTAAACCAGGAGGACTAAACCAGGACTAAATCAGGACTAAACTAGGACTAAAACTAGGACTAAAACCAGGACTAAACCAGGACTAAAACCAGGACTAAACCAGGACTAAACCAGGACTAAACCCAGGACTAAACCAGGTCTAAACAATATGACGCCTAACATTAGGGTGGACATTATTTAAGGCAGCAGTGATCTCATATAAAAATAATTTCTCTATCAATAATTGTTTTAATTTGGCTAAGTAAAGTCTGGTCTTTTTATTGTCTTTATGCAGACAAAACATCTTATGTTAACATTTCCTAGTCTTTGCTTCTCTACAGCAAATAAAAGTCCTGTTCATGGAGACTTGGGCTCAACAGACAATTTGAAGAAAACAAACAAGAATTTTCAGGATGTGGTTGTTACACTCATGGAGTTTTAAAAAACATGACAATATCAAGTAATCCAAAGTATTCAGATTACGTTACTCACTTTAAGTAATTTAATGGATTCCGTTACAAACTATATTTTGGGGTATTTAATCTGTAATCTGTAAACAAAAAAGTTTGGTGACGATCTGAGGTCATTTGAGGTCATGCGGGTTCATTGAAAGGTCACGCCATTATAAAGGATAGGCAATTTCGGCAATTTCTGAATCATCTGCGGCCTAAAATATTCACCAAACCTGGTGAAACTGGTCAAAGTCACTTGAAGGTCAAGGTAACCAAGGTCAAATATGCTTTTTGGATGTAACTTCATTGCAGGATGGAGCTCGAGCAACAGGGAGTGCCTCAAAATCTCAGAAAAAATATTATCTATTTATAATTCCATGCATTTGTATAGTCAAATATTTATAGTTTCCCAGATAATCACAAATTATAACAGTTCCTTTCTCTTTCAGTGTATGTCGTTAAAATTCTAACTGGAACAAAATTAATTTCCATTTCTTGTTTTTCTGGTCATACACAACACACTGATCTACAGTCACACAACTAACATACACACAACTCATGAAAAATGATATTTTGGTTCCACACTAGTAAACACAGACATTCTCATGTGTGACCAATATCACACTAATGTTCATGGGCCTGTACAGATACACACATGACATTGTGGATATAAAGATCATGTAATATGGGCTGGGCTCCTCATGAACTGTTTCTGTGGTGATGAACTGACCCACCGATGCCTCATGGGGACCAGGTTGACGTCTCTGATTGCGCTTGTTTTATTTATTTTACTCATTTATTGCTATTTTACTGCTTTTATTGTTTTTGCTTTTATTAGATTTGACTGGTTTTATTGTTTTAGGACTGGTATGACCAAATTTTAACAATTTATCTTTCTGTTGTCGTCATTTTATGATCTCTGCGCAGCACTTCGGACACTGCTTTGTTTGTAAAATGTGCTATAGAAATAAAATGGATTTGGATTTGAATTTTGACCAAATCGAAATCGGGATCTACAAGCCGTGCTGTTAATTAATGATGTGATGTTTGTGGAAGAGTCGGCTCTTTTGAACCACTCGTAATGAAAGTTAAAACTGTTGTTTTGACATGTGTGGGTGGATCCGAATCTCATTTTTCAAAAGAGCCCAGCAAAAAAAGAAAAAGAAAACATTTGGTTTCATGACATTTACAATTATTTGAGTGCAAAGTTTTATTTAGATCAACCATAATTTGAACCATTTTAAACAAATCTAAGTCTTGATTCACTTGTAGATAAAAGAAGTTATTTTAGTCTTCTGTCATATAAATGAAAAAAAAGCTCTTTGAAATGATCCTAAAGATTCAGATTCAGATCTAAGAAAAGAGCCGAAGGTCCCATCACTGCTATTAATTTTCTGGCACCCGTAGCAGGGAACACCCGGCCTTAAACGCACTCAAAAGCCCTTGTGCTGAGCTAATCTTTTGATCCCGCCTCATTACGTGGAGGTGGCATCTCGGGCGCGCCGCTGCAGTCGCCCTCTTCTCCTGACAGGTCGGGTCAAACGCGCAGAACATCATTTCCACTTTCCAAACAAACATTTTACACCTGGATCGGGGTAGAACATGAATGAGCAGGCTGGAGAGGGACCGCGATTTCTTTCAGGAGATGCAGATTCTAAACTCTGAGCTTTTATGAGCCACTTGAGAAGATCCGAAAGCAGCATAATGTCTTCTGCAGTGATCCAGAGCACAGGTGCGTAAGCCATATCCTCACACTCCTCCAGCTGTCCGTCCGAGTCCAGGCACTGCCCCAAAAACACGCTGTGAATTATTAAGAAACGGCAACACTGAAAATGGATTTTACAAGCATTTTTATAACTCAATAAGACGGACTTTATGGCTCATATTCGCACATTTTCGAATTTAAGCTGCAATCTTTTAAATAAAACTAGGTCACGAGTAAGCCAAGATGGGGTTTATAGGTGTAATAAAGTGCCCTATAGGAAAGTTGGGTCCTGGCCTCTACATGCACCAGCGGGGACCATTTAGAGAAAACCATATGGGGAAAAGAAACATGCATTATTTACTTTTTCTTTTTTTTTCCCCAAATGTGTTGTTTATTAAATATATCAGCAGTAACGTGTAACGCCAGTGTTGGGGAGTAACAGATTACATGTACCGGAGATCAGAGTCAAAGAGTACAAATTATGAGTAACTGTATTCAGTTACTGTTCAATTACTGTTTCAGTGAGTGGTGATTGGATTACAGTTACTTTGCTGAAATAAATGGATTACATGGTGATATTTTCCTGTTTTAAAATTTTGGGCTAAACCAGGACTAAACCCAGGACTAAACTAGGTCTAAACCAGGTCTAAACCAGGACTAAACCAGGTCTAAACCAGGTCTAAACCAGCTCTAAACCAGGTCTAAACCAGGTCTAAACCAGGACTAAACCAGGACTCTAAACCAGGACTAAACCAGGACTAAACCAGCTCTAAACCAGGACTAAACCAGGACTAAACCAGGTCTAAACCAGCTCTAAACCAGGTCTAAACCAGGTCTAAACCAGGTCTAAACCAGGTCTAAACCAGGTCTAAACCAGGACTAAACCAGGACTAAACCAGCTCTAAACCAGGTCTAAACCAGGACTAAACCAGCTCTAAACCAGGACTAAACCAGGTCTAAACCAGGACTAAACCAGGACTAAACCAGGTCTAAACCAGGACTAAACCAGGTCTAAACCAGGACTAAACCAGGTCTAAACCAGGACTAAACCAGGTCTAAACCAGCTCTAAACCAGGTCTAAACCAGGACTAAACCAGGTCTAAACCGGGACTAAAACAGGACTTAACAGGACCATGCTGTGCGGACCGTGTCTCCTCCTCTTCTATCAATAATATTTTAAATCGATTAAGGAAAGACTCGGCTTTTCATTTTCTTTTATCAGACAAAACCTTTTATGTGAAGATTTCCTCGTCTTTGCTTCTCTACAGCAAATCAAGTAATCCAAAGTATTCAGATTACTTTACTCACCTTCAGTAATTTAGTGGATTACGTTACAAACTACATTTTGGGATATGTAATCTGTAATCTGTAGGGGAATACATTTTAAAAGTCACCTTCCCAACACTGTGTAACGCAAGTTTGGTTTAGACGTGGTTTCTTCAAGTTTCTTACCAGAGTTACGCCATTACTCGACCCAGAATACACACTTCTCCAATACTTTACGAAGATGTGAGTCTGGTCACAGGTAAATCTTCCAGTTTTTAGATAGCCCTGATTGACAGATGGATTAGCCAATCAGAAACACGCATTGTTCGTCCATATTGGAAAAGATAAACGAAAAAAATCTCACAGGGAATTGAAAAACATCGTGGATTTCGGCAGAATCAAGGAGCAAAACGCTAAACTTTTCATCTGAGGTGAGAGAAATGTAAAATTTATAATAGAAAATGTGTTGATGTGATGAGCTCCTTTGTTTCACATGGATCATTGAAAAAAACAAATCTAATTGGACGATAACGTTTGACTGATCTTGAGATGCTACAGAGGGCGTGGGGTCCAGACTGATATCAATCTGTATAAAAAAAAAAAAAAATACAGAGAAAAAACATTCTGGATTTGGCAAGATAAACTACTTTTGCCGCCACATCTGACCTGGGACAGACTGACAGACTAATGGCTGCAAATCGGCTCATCCAACCTCCACTGATCACTACCCCAGCCCCATTCATCCAAGTTTTACAGTTATGGAGAAGAAAAGTCACGACATTATTCAATTACACTAAAACACAACAGTCATTTACGCTCATTTAAAACTCTAAAGGTCAAAATAAAATAGAATAAATCTGCTGTGTGCTGGCTGCATCTTATTATAAAGCATTTAATGTCTGTTAATCTGGAAGTGCACATTAGCATGATAGTTGTTGTTAGCGTTATCTTAGCCTTCTCTGAAAGTTGGGCAAAGCACTTACAAACTCATTGTGGTGAATCATTAAGATGCTCTGAATACGTAAGGCACAGGTGTCAAACATACGGCCCGGGGACCAGATCCGGCCCTCCAAGACCTTTAATCTGGCCCTTGGCTGATTTTCTGCTAAAATATTTTAATTATATTTTCTATTAAAATCTTGTTAATTTTCTGTGGTGTTTATCACAGCAGCGTCTCTGTGCGTGGCCCCTCCCACCAGAGCAGCACAAATGAAGACTTGTCTCTTTCCAAACGCTCTTAAAGGACGATCGTTTTGACTGTTGACCGTGACACCCTCATCAGAAAAATGTCCAAAATGAGAAAAGTGGAGCCAAGTGCAGGATTTTCCAAGAAAAATGGTCTTATTCCTATTTACATACAAGTTCATGTTAAAGCATTGTGTTGAATGTGTGTTTTCTTAAAGTTTCAGGTTGTTCATAATATTATAATATTTTGTAAATGAAAGAGTTCATCAATTAAAAAAGATTTCTGTAATAGATTTGTGTTTCCCTGCAAAAATATTTGAACTTATTGCTATTTCTGGGGTATATATGCCATGAGTTTTTTGATCCGGCCCCTTTAGGATCAAAGTAAGTTGGATACGGCCCCCGACCAAAATGAGTTTGACACCCCTGACGTAAGGTAAGTGAGGACCAGTGTTTTTCATGCTTTTAAAAATCCTACATTACACAAACTGGATTCTTGTGAGTTTTAAGTCACGCTGGAATGTTGTTGCCTCCTCAAAAACAGACCAGGAGTTGTGTTTTGTTTCATTCACACATGTCTGAATAATCCTTTATTATTAGTTTGTTTACATCTCCAAAGCTCAAAACCTTTCACCTCGCGATTTCATGGAGCAGTAGTTTTCAAGCCAGCAGCTACATTTTACCTTTAATTCAGTAAAGATTGACAATTCTAGTAAATTAATTCTATAAATTATTTTCACAATCATTCTAGAAAAGGTCTACAAAGTTTAAAAACACAGCACAATAGTACTACATGACATCACGAGGTGGAACAGGGTGTTTTCTGTTTGAGAGAAAAACTCAGCCTAAATACGCTCCAGCAGATCCATGACCACGGTCGTTCCTAAAGCTCACACAGCTTTGGGCCGCTCCTCATTTCAGTTCTTAGTTTGTTTTTACCTCTGTCGATTTTTAAAAACTCCATCCAGAATATTACAGGATCATTGCACATGCTTTTAACACTTTTATATTTTTAATCTGGAAATGTTTCACGGTCTCATGTCTCTATTCACTGTTGCAAATGAAAAGTGTTCTCAATTGACTTACCTGGTAAAATATTGAATTAATAAAAACAATATTAAATATAAAAGCCTTTGTGTGTTAAATGTGTAAATGAAACAAAACACAACTCCAGGTCTGGCAGATTAATTCGGTCAGAAAGCTCAGACACTAATGCACCGTACAAAACAGCACTGACTTGGAACGCACTTTAGAGAATGGGGGCAGGTGGGGGCTGTTTTTAAAGACTGTACAATATTTTTAACTATTTATTCTTATGATTATTTATGCTGCTGAGTACAGTGTCTCATTTCTGTGTGTTTTTATACTGAAATGACAAATGAATTCTGATTTTGATTCTGTTTGTGAAGAGGAAACATTAGAACAGATCAATCTAACCCTTTAGGACAGTAAAAATCGTGGTCGAGTGCCTTTAAGTTTTCCTTTAATGACCAAATATAAATTGTCGACCTACCTGTTTGGGGCACTGAGCCTGAGTCCACTCATCTTGTTGGACAGACACCTCTCCCCGTTGCTTCCGTTGCTTCCGTTGTGTGCGTACAGAGCGGTGGGTGCGTTGTACTGCTGGGTGCTGTACTGCTGGGTGCTGTACTGCTGGGTGCTGTACTGGGGCGCGCTGTACTGGGTGTGCCCGTTCCCGTAGCCCCCGTAGCTGTGGCCGTTGTTGGGCCTGGCGTGGCCGTTGTTGGCGTAGGGGGTGGGGGAGGAGACGGGCGCCGGGGGGGACGGGGGCTCTGAGCCGTACGAGGGTTTACGCTGGTAACTGGAGAAGCCGCTCGAGATGGGACGGAAGTTCTGAAAAAGAGAGAAAATATAAAACTGTTATTAGATGTTGATATTTTAACGCCAGATGCAATAGAAGTGAACAGAGCTGTGCACATAAAACTACATTTTACTTTCAGTATTAGTGTCAACGTCTTTTCTCCATAGAGATAGATAAGCTAATGCCAAAATGTGGAATATTCCCAGTAGAGCAAGTAACCTTTTATTGTTAGTTCCTTCCACATCTCCAAAGCTCAAAATGCTCTATTTTGAGCTTTGATGTCATGAAGTGGTAGTTTTCATGCCAATAGTAACTTTTTACTTTTAGTTCAATAGAGACTGGCAATTCCAGGGCTGAAAAGACTCAAAGTTTTCAGAAATAGTCATATGCATAGGATTGAAATTCGTGCATATTTGTCTGTAGTTGAGCATAAAATAAGTATTGGTAAACTCTCGAATGAGTCCAGTCGTACATAAAATGTGTTGTGTGTGTTTTATCCATCAGAATACGAACAGAAAAGTTAGGACATCAAGAATTACAATCACAAAATGAAAATTTATGATTAAGCTTTCCTTATTATGAATACAAATTCACTGACGCGACACAACTGGGCGCCAGTCACAAAAACTGTTGTTGTTCAGCCACATTGCCTAGTATGAAAGTGGTGTGTGCGTGTGTGTGAGTGATGGTGGTGGTCGGAGGGACCGATGACGCCTATTGGCATGGCAGCTGCGCTTCAGTCAGTCTGCCCCAGGGCAGCTGTGGCTGCAATAGTCTCTTACCACCACCACGTATGGAGTCACTGAATAATGCTCTGTAAAGCGTCTTTGTGACAAAAGTCTCTGAAAAGACCTATATAAATAAAAAAATACTTACTGAACCAGGACTAAAACCAGAACTGAATCAGGACTGATCCCAGAACTGACCCAAGTGGACTAAAGAAGGACTGAACTAGGGTTTAAACAGTCAGTCCTTTCATCTGCGGTCACCCGGCAGTCTACATGGGCGCACTTCCAGGCCTGTCCCAGCACTCAGTCCTGGTTCAGTCCTGGTTCAGTCCTGGTTCATCCTGGTTCAGTCCTGGTTCAGCCCTGGTTCAGTCCTGGTTTAGTCCTGGTTCAGTCCGTGTGCAGCACAAAAGTGAATTCGTATTCATACTGAAGAAAGCGTAATCGTACATTTTGATTTGGTGATTGTAATTCTTGATGTTGTAACTTTTCAATTCTTATTCTGATGGATAAAATACACACAACACATTTTACGTACAACTAGACTCGAGAATTTACGAAAATTTATTTTATGCTCAACTACAGACAAATATGCATGGATTTCTATCCTTTGCACGCAAATATTTCTATATGATTCTAACGAAGGTTCATGGAGTAGTGGAGCACTTCCTGTATTACCACATGACAGTTTTCTGTTTGAGAGAAGAACTTAGCCTAAATATGCAGAGTTTGTGTGTTAAAATGTGTGAATAAAAAAAAAAAAACACAACTCCAGGTACAGTATTTTTTTGAAGAGGAAATAACATCAGATCAGAAAATACTGTATGTATGTGGGCCGTTTAAGGCAATTTGAGTGTCTTGCACAAGAGCACAACAGCAATATGAAGTGCTTATATTGGGAATCAAACCAACAGGCTTAAGGGGAAAAATATTTGTACAAACTGAGTGATTAAAGATGGAACAGAGGCCATTGTTTGTGTTCATGATGTATTAAGAAGCTTGTAATGATACACTAGAATTACTGTGTCAAGCAAACAGTTTACATTTGAAACTGAAAAACAGAAATAAAAAATAAGAAGAATTGATCTGGAGTTGGCAAAATGGACGGAGAGAGGCAGGTTCAAAATGTCCTCCAAAAACATTTCAGTAGGAAGCAGTAATTTCAAACTTCTGGTAAACGTTGGTCTTTGTGACATGAGTAAAGAGCCACATGAGAGGAGCCAGCGGTGGTGGCGATATTAAAAACCACATTGTTCAAAGAGAATGGGCTCCCCGCCTCATTTCTCTCGCGGACTTTTCAATATTTAGTTTAGCTGTTGTTGTAGATTTTCTGCAGATGTTTCTGTCAAAGCAAATTACTTTTAAAGTGTAAATATTGAGAAATGTGCTCTGACCTCGGGCTCAGGTTTCTTCTGCTGCTGCTTGTAGTCGATGACAGAACATGATTTTGTTTTGAGGTAAACTGTTTGGAATCACGACTTTAAACGCTCCCTCGTAAACAACGGCAGAGATTTCAAAATAGAATTACTCAAAAAGGAACGGAAACTGTCAAGAAATCACAGCAGAGCCACTGAACAGTATGTACAATTACTACAAGTACTCATAAACAAAGGGACTTAATGGAATGTATCTACAGGGACGTGTACACTTATATTCTACTGCTACTGCTACTGCTACTGCTACTACTACTACTACTACTACTACTACTGCAGCTACTGTACTACTACTACAACTGCTACTGTGCACTAATACTTTACTACTGCTGCTACTGTGTACTACTACTGCTATGTACTGCTATGTACTACTACTACTACTGCTGCTGCTACTGTGTACGACTACTATAACAACAACTACTACTACTGCTAGTATGTACTACTACCCTGCTACTATGTAATACTACTATGTACTAATACTACTAGTATTACTGCTACTATGTACTACTACTACTACTACCACTACTGCTACTACTGCTGCTGCTGCTACTGTGTACTACTACTACTACAACTGCTACTACTACTGCTCCTGTACTACTACTTCTACAACAACTACTACCACAACTAATACTACCACTACTATGTACTACTACTTCTACAACAACTACTACTACAACTAATACTACTACTGTGTACTATTACTACTACTACAACTACTACTACTGCTATGTACTACTACAACTGCTACTGTGTACTACAACAACAACTACTACTACTACTACTACTACTGCTACTACTACTACTTCTACTATTACTACTACTATGTACTACAACTACTATTGCTGGTACTATGTACTACTACTGCTATGTACTACTACAACTGCTACAGTGTACTACTACTACAACAACTACTACTGCTGCTACTATGTACTATTACTACTACTACAACAACTACTACTACCACTATTATATACTACTACTAATATTACTACTAATCCTAGAACAAATTCAAGGGTGACAGTAGCTCCAGTGATGCAAAGGTTGGCGGTTTGATTCCAGCTCCCACAAATGAATATTGTTGTTGTGTCCTGGGGCAAGACACTTAACCCACCTCGGCCCCGGTGTTTGTGGACACTGGTGTATGAATCTGTGTGTGGTTACTTAATGTAAAGCGTTTTGAGTACCTTGAAGTTGTAAAAGTACTGTATAAAAATGTGAGAATCTGTATCAAATATCGGTATTGGTCAATATTGTGAAAAATCATCATCATCAACCGATATATCGCCCATGCCTGTACCTCCACCTCCTGCTAATACTGCAAATACTATTCTACACAATTACAACTACACAACAACTACTGCTACAACTATCATACCACATCTGCGTAATGTTACTATACGCGTACACTATTACTTCATCAAACATATCTTTTGTTTTTCCACCTCCTCTGTCCCTGCCACATCACCATCCCACCGAGACAACCCCAGGCCGCTGTTTACGAGGGCTGAGTGAACAACACCTACAGTAAATGGCAGTGCACTCCTCCACTGTTTGGACTGGGGTTAAACACTGATGTCATGGTGCTGGAGAGTGGTAGTGCTGCAGACAGAGCTATCTCCCTCGTCTCTCAGATAAGCGCCCAGCTGACCTCGTCCCGCTCCAATCCCCGATAAACTCTATTACATGAAGTCACCACCTCCGATAAAGGCAACGGCTCGAGTCAAGGGGGCTGCGCGGGATCACGGTTTGGTTTTTGGAAAGGTATTTAGGGTCCGTTTTATTGAGCAATGTTCTGTCAAATCGTTGTAAACTAGAAGAAAGCTTTATGAGTTCCCGATTCCCACGTTGGTCCTATTTATGTCTCGCCCGAGTGCGGATCTGTGGGCTCCGTTCACGTTTACGTCGCAAAATCAGAAGACGTTTGGAAACATGCGGACTTCATTTGGGCTCTGCTGGCGATAGTAACTCCGACAAAATCTGTAAAAACTGAGAAAATGGCTCGGCTTTCTTCATTTAGACGTCATTGTAGAGTTCCGTTATGTTCGTCAGATCAACAGTTACAACCAGCGGCCCGTGAGTGATATCGAAGACGCGATTAGATTCATGGAACGCTTTGGCAATTTGTGAAGACGCTGCTGCTGAATCCACGGGTTTATCACATCCCCAGCGTCAGAAACTACACCGGAATTCGTCATCTGCATGTTTCCAAATGTCTTTCAGCAAGTCTATCGATACCAACTCCAATTATCTTTGTATTGAAAAGACGTCACTCTTTTTCCCGTGACTGCTGCTGTCAGGCTCCTTATTTTGGTCTTAAAATGTCCGGATTAACCCGCTCTACGTGATCCTCGTGTCTTTATTTTGTTGTTTTGTCAGTGAATCAATCAGTTTTCCTAATATTGAACTGGTTCCAAGTTAGTCCCCGTAACACCTCGCTGAGCTTCATTTGACTGGAGCCGAACGCTAAGGTGATATCGCACTCCCTTAGTTCATTTCTTTATACAGTCCAAGGTTAGCATGTGAGTTGTTGTTAGTTTTGGGGTCAGCCTTATCATCAGAAGAGCCTCTAGTCAAAAATTGTTACAAATGAAATTGTATTTCAAGTTTTAAATATTTTAAAAAGTAAATATTAAAAGTAATAAATATATTAAACCCTTAAAATACAGCAAAAATGTTTGAGGAAATAATGATTTGGGTGGAAATGTCTGTCTTAAGTGTAACAGGGTTAATAATGTTCTGATTTTCAGGCAACAACTTGCAAAATGTTCAGTAATTCGAGCTCTACAACCTTCATTTCAATTTTATTTTAAATCTTTTTCTTTTAATATAGCATTGGTGGGTTTGTAAACCAACAAATTAAGTAATGTTGGC